GGAAGACTGTAGAAGCATATATTGATGACATGTTGGTAAGGAGTACAAAGAAGGATGATCACCTGGGCAACTTGAAGGATGTATTCAGCGTGTTGAGGAAGTATGGAATGAAGCTTAACCTAACCAAATGTTCATTCATCGTGGGTTCAGGGCAATTCCTGGGACATGTAGTCAATAATAGAAGAATTGAAGTTAGCCCAGCCCAAGCAGGAGCTCTGATAAAAAATGCAAAACTAAGAACGGTCAAAGAAATGCAAGCACTCACAGGTCGAATAGCCGCACTGAGTTGGTTTATTTCTAAGCTGTCAAATTGCTATAAACAGTTCTTTGATATAATAAGAGGCCATAGAAAGCAGGCCTGGGGAGATGAGTAACGACAGGCACTGACTAGCTTGAAGGAATATATGTGGAACCCACCGTCTTGTCAGCCCCTAAGCCAGGTGAGAGGCTCTTTTTATACCTTGGTGTGTCCAGTATTACAATGAGTGTCGTTCTGGTGCGCTGCGAAGAAGGTAGGCAGTTTCCAGTATTTTATGTTAGCAAAACGATGGCAGAGCCAGAACGAACATATTCAAAGGCCGAACGAGTGATCCTATCATTAGTGAATACAAAAAGGAAACTCAGGCATTATTTTGAATTCCATCCTATCATAGTTTTGACCACTTTTCCTATAAGGGTGATCTTGTATAAGCCAGATCTATCAGGAAGAATGACAAAGTGGGCCATAGAGTTGAGCTCATTTGACATAACGTACGAACCCAGAACGGCTATTAAAGAGCAAGCGGCGGTTGATTTTCTTGCTGGAGTGCGATGTAAAAGATATGGAGGAATATCTCCGGCGTTCGTCATGGAGGCTCTTTATAGATGGTTCTTCAAATCAAATGGGGGTAGGGATTGGGATTAAACTACAAAAGCCAGAAGGCACCTCCCTAAGTTAAGCGCTTAGACTTGAGTTCAGAACAACCAATAATGAAGCAGAATATGAAGCATTGCTGACTGGACTGAAGTTAGCTAAAGAGCTAAAGGTCAAAAATTTAGTCGTTTTTAGCAATTCGCAGTTGATCATTCGGCAGGTAAATGGTGAATACGGAGCCAAAGATGAGACAATGGAGGCATGCCATTCTGCTGTTATGCGGGAAGCCAAAGACTTTGATAAAATTGAGTTCATCCAGTTGCCGAGAGAGCGTAACGAAAATGCCGACCAGATAGCATGCAGTGCGTCAAGTCTGGAGAAACACTGGTAAGGGTGATTCCAGTTGGTGTGTTGTGCCAGCCATCTATCTTTGAGGAACTATCAGGCTCAGATCCTTGGCAAGTGAATATCATACCATATGAGCCGAGCTAGATGTAGTGGCAGAAGAGGATGCTGAAGCTGGAGAGGAAGCCAGGGCAGAAACAGTGACATTCCTAGGAGGGTCCTTCCTTCTGCTAAAAGAAGGGATCCGGAGCTAACTCATAGTAGCGCCCAGGAGTGAAATATCGCTAAGGTTCTTGGACACAAGGAGTTCAGAACAGGAAGGAACGTTGTTCAGAACGTATTCCTTCAAGTGGTTGATCTTATCACTACAAATACTGTAACTTAGTTCGTTATGAGGAATACCCAGGAAATCGCAAAGAAAAGTGCAGAAACGAGGAATGCAAACTTCACAGGGGCAGTCACTCTTGTGGGTTTTATAGTTCTTGTACGAGGAGACATAACACTAGCCAAAGGCGTTCGGGATAGGGTAATCCCTAGTAGCCAGAGCAAACCAGGCCCATCTAACCCCAACTATGCTCTTTTCCCAACCTTTCTCCGAATCAAGTTTATCCGTACAAATTGATCTCTTCTCGATTGGATAAAAGTGATAGTACATGTCATCCAACCTAATCTTGCTGACCTTATAGCAAAGGAGAAGATCAATAATATTGAGATCTAAGCCCCTGTCACGCTTCAAAAGCAAGAGAATGGACAAAACCCTAAAGAAATTGGGATCTACCTGGAGTGGGGAAAATTTTAGCCTGTTAAAGACATAACAGAAAAAGGGTGCAGAGGGAATCTAACGATGTTCAGCCGCAGGAGGAAGAGCGGGATCTCACCAGGAAGAAGACCCTCACTAGTTCTAATGTTCAAACTTTTGGGGCATTCCCTAATAAGAATATTGCTAGGGAGTTGAAGCTTCATGCGAAGAATATCTAAATCAATGGGCATGGTGCAGACGAACAGGACCCTAAAGAAGTGTGTAAAGTTTTTAAAAAGATAAAAGGAAGTGAAACTAACTTTAAGAGGATTGAAGATCTCAAAAGATGCTGCAGGACGACTGAAAAGGGAGAATCTCGCGCATAGGGATGGCAAATTCTTCATCCCTGCCGGGGCCCCGCCTCGCCCCGCCCCGTTTATAGCGGGGATGTGGATCCTTTTAGCTAAATGGGGATGGGGACAAATTGTGAATCCCCGCCGGGGGCGGGAGTAAGGGCGGGGATGGGGTAAACCGCCCCGCCCCGATTAAGTATGAAGTTACTAATATACCCCTACATAAAATAATTTATTACTAAATTAGATTTATTATATATATGAAAATAAGAAAAAAAAATGTGTTTTTTTTTTAATAAAAAAAAAATTATGAGGCCGAGGCCGGGGGAGGGGACGGGGATAAGGAATTGGGGGCAGGGGTGGGTATGGGGATGGTGGCGAAATTTTAAGCTGGGATGGGGGCGGGGATGGGGATTGAAAAATTCATCGGGGATGGGGATGGGGAATGGAATCCCCACCCCGCCCCTCCTCGTTGCCATCCCTACTTGCGTAGGAATTCGCCGGAGAAGATTTGATTTGCTTGGAAGGGATGAACAGTTAGTTGATTGACAGCAATGTGTGATAGAGACAATAGAGAAGGATATGAGTACGATTTCCTCGATTTATAAAGGGAAGATGGACCCAATAACCGAGACGTCAAGAAAGTGAAGAGGTTTCGAATTTCAAAACGTTGATTACTAAATTGACCGCTAGTTCTCCCACATAATCATCTTGAGCCGTTAAATCATGATTAATTCCCATTAATAATATCGCCCTAATTAATTAGGGAGAGATTATGGGGGCAGATGGGGATGCTAAAAACGGCGCGAGCCAACTATGGCCCACACAACGAGAAACAGTTCGGGTAAGTGATCTTGATCCGAGCGAAGTTCTCTCAGGTCAGGCCTAAGATTGAAGAGTCGTACTAAAGGCCAAGTAATCAGGCCCATTACTAAAGAAGCCCGGGGAATGAGCCCAGCACAAAGAGTTAGTTAAGAATCTTCTAGAGAATGTGTAACAGTCTATAAATAGATTGAAAATAGAGGGAAAATGAGGGGGAAAATTCTTGAAGTGTAAGGATATTCTGTGAAATTAGAGAGAGAAATTTCTTGCATCTTCAATTCTCTTTCTATATATGAAAATACGAAGAAAAAGAGAGTGAAGAACCGATCCATCGAGATATCGTACGAAGCTACCATTGGATCACCTTCACCTCATCAATCTCAAGAAAGTCCTGTTTTTCTTTTTGGCAACTCGTCTGTGCCTAATACGAGAATCGAGTTAATCATGATGAAGTCAATATCATCCATTTTGTTCCTTGTTATAGTCTGGGATTTTTCATTTTCTGGGAATTGTGGAAGAGTAAAAATGATTTCTAATAAGCAAGTCGCAAAAAGTAAAGCCGCCGATGGAGTTCAAGTCGCATCCGGTGAGAGGAGATAGAAGACAAACACTTTCTCTCTCTACTGACTCCAAGTTGAGGCCGGACTGAACTTACCAGCGTACAGAATAACGACGACGCTGTGATGATGCGAGCCAGGAATCCGGCAATGTTCTAGAAATTGTGTTTGGTTAACCCTTATAATAAAAAAGGGTAGATTAGTCATTTCATTAATGTATTTGGTATTGTATGGGACAGGGGTCTGACTGAAAATTTGCAAATGTGATGGGGTGTCTTTGATGTATTGACAAAACATAGGGGGTCTAGCTGAAGTTTACCCTATTTTCTATACTAATTTTTTATTAATTATAGTTGTGTCCTCACTCAACTCCTTAAAATTTAACAAAAGTCCTTAAAAAATTCCAAAATTCAAAAAGACCGCTCCTTTTTTATTCATTGGTTCATAAGTTTTTTAAAATTCAAAAAAAATCGATGTCTTTCTCCTCCACTGATACAACAAAATTTTAATGAATCAAAATTCATAAAGGCCCTTACTTTGTAATTTATTATTTTGGTTCAATTTTTTATATTATATTTTTGTTAATGGTGGTCCTTTCTGAAATAAATTTGTAGCTCCGCTACTTCCGGGTTGGAGACCATCTGTTTGCTGCTCAGTTTCTCTCTCTTTCCCCAGCTCATGCAGGTAAAACAGGTTCACTTCTCACTCTTTATCTTTCCTCGATTAGGATGTCTCTCCTTCTACGCGAAAGTACATTGAATATATAAGAATGTATTATACAGATATAGGCTTGTTTATAAAAATGTGCATGTGTATATAACTACGAATTTGTTGTACTTCAATTAGGGTTTATTTATGAATTTGTGTATATAATTATGTTATCTACGAGTAATTAATATAAAACAATGTAATCTTGTTTTAACACATCTTCAATTCGGCTTCGAATTTCTCTAACATATGGAACGTGTTTCATGTTTCTATCTAATGATATTGTAATTTGAACAAGAAAAAGGAGAATCAAAGAAAGCGGCTATTATGTTTTTGGTAATCCATTACATTGGTGCATAGCTAACCTGGAACTGGAAGAGCATTGGCAAAATGATGAACTGGTTGGTTATGCAATGCTCACTATGCTGATGGCTAATTATTTTCCCTCTCTTTCCTTGCAATAGTTTGACCTATTGGCAATGAGGTCCATTTTGAGTCAAATGGCAAGGTCTGTGACATTTATACCAATTCTGTTAAGAAGATACTTAGTGACGGTTTTGCCTAACCTATCCTGTTAAGGATGCGAGGAAAGAAAATGAAATTAACATATCTTAATCTAGATATACAGCAATTTAACATATATGGTTCCATTGAAGACCAAGAAATATAAGAACATGCCCTTTTACATACTCAGTACACTTTATTCTATGAAAACTCCATAAAAGTTTTATATATATATATATATATATATATATATATATATATATATATATATATCAAACCATCACAATGGAAGGACTGAAGGAGGTGATGATGGAGAGACCGGTATATCCATAGTGCCTTCTAACATAAGGATCACATTCTTCATCGACGGACGCAGACTTGGATCATCTTGAATACACAGCAATCCAACCTTCACCATCCTTTCCAGGGTCTTCATGTCTACTTCTTCATCTCCCACAACCTTTTCCAACTCTCCGGCCACAAAGCAATTATATACCCAGTCAATAAGAAGTATCTCATCTGCTGTGGACACGCTAACCTCCATGTTACTTCTGCAACATATGATCTCCAAAAGCACAACTCCGAAGCTGTAAATGTCTGCCTTCTCTGATATCAGGGTGTTTCTGTGCCATTCGGGGGCCAAATATCCTCTTGTCCCTCTGATCCCTGTGAGGGTTCCAATTTGATTTGGCATCAAAAGTTTTGCTAATCCAAAATCAGATATCTTAGCTGTCCAAGAATCATCCATAAGTATATTTTGAGGCTTTATGTTGCAGTGGATTATACGGGTCTCACACTCTTCATGTAGATATAAAATCCCTCTTGCTACATCCATTGCAATTTTCACTCTTTCTTTCCAACTGGGGTGCATTTCAACCTTGAAGAGAAGATTTGCCAGCGAGCCATTCTTCATGAATTCATAAACAAGAAGCTTGCTAGCACCTTCTATGCAAAAACCAAGCAATTGAACCAAGTTCCTGTGATGAGTCCGCCCAATTGCAGTCATTTCTGCTCTGAACTCCCTTTTGCCTTCTTCCATATCTCTTTCTATTCTCTTTACAGCAATGAGCTTTTTACCCTCGGCATCAGATATAGCTCCTTTATACACTGCTCCAAAAGAATTCCTGCCCAATTCTTCTTTGAACCCATCTGTAGCTTCCACAAGCTCACTATAAGAAAATGATCTCATAGTAAACTCGCTGTTTAGGCCCAAACTTCCATTTTCAGACAGTCTTTTGTATCTATGACGTCGACGTCTATAGATAAAAAAGCTATAGATTGCAATGACAGAACAGAAGAATGCAAGGCAACCCAGAATCACAGCAAGAATCGTTGAATTTGAAGGATTACTCTCTGGAACTGAGGAGTTGTGGCCAATCTTGATGAAGCCCGTGATTGACGTATTTGGTTTTGAAACTACATATAGCAATGGAAGTTTATGCTTTTTGCAAGTATCATTCAGATACAGAGCTGCCCAACAATTACAATCTTCCTGGCAAGACCGACCACAATCTTCTTCCTTATTCGTCAAGATCACAGAATAAGGATAGCCAGTCCACTGAGTATTTCTTAAAACAGTGATGTTGTAGATCGATGTTGGGTCTCTCCTTGTGCAACCTTGTTGATCGATGAAGCTCTGGTAGCAGCCCAGGAACTTCTTATCGCGGTGGAGAAATGTGAAACCAGGAAAGCAAGAACAATTGGCTATGGTGTCGGTGTTCAAGCAGAAGCTATTAACACCACAGATGCCTTTGACATCACATCGGTTTCCCAGCGCAGACCACTGTATCAGCCCGGTAGAGTTATCCCTGATTCCAAAGCTATGTGAGTAGAGCCTAAAAATTCCATCAGCATCAAGCGTTGCACGGTAAATTATCTTCTTGTTATTGCCAGAATATGAGCTGTTAACTAGAGTGTGCATGCAAACACCACTAGAAGAATTGCTTAAACATAGAAGGCCTCTACTGGTGAGATTTAATCGTCCACCCAAATTCACAGTGTTTGAATTCCAATAAGAATCCTCAGGTCGATCAGAACTGTTGACAGGGTATGCAACAAGATTTGCGTCTTTTTGCATTATGAGATGAAACCGTCCACTTGACTGATCTGTTGTCGATGCACTGGAGAGCAACTCTTCGCCATAATCCAGATACTGACTGCCTAATAGAGTATCTGTTGGGTAATCGAAGCTTTGCCAGGTAACGTTGGATTGATTGTTGTAGATCACAAAATTACCAGTATCAAGCATAGAAGCTGAAACTGCATCCTCATCAAGTTCGTCTGTGATGGATATTCCTTCCCCTTTCCGGGTCCAAAGGAAAAGCCCGCGGTGTTTGGTGAACTCAAGTGTGGTGTTTGAAGAGACTGGTGGATCATCTCGATTTGCAGTCCAAACAACAGTGGTTGTAGGATTACTAGCCAGCCATATTCCAACTGCAAATCCTTTCTGTTTTGGGTAGAAACCAAATGCGAAGAGGCCGGAAGGTGAGAGCCACGAATTGTGCGAGGTGTTGGGAGAGAGTGAAGAACCCAACCTTATCCTATTGGAGTGATTCTGTCCAGCTCCTAGAGCTGTTGAAAGTAGAAACAGTATTAGTCTGAACATTACTGCAGATAGATCAGCCAAGAGAGAGAGAGAGAGAGAGACTTCTTTTTTTTTTTTTCTTTTTTTTTTTTGATTAATAGTAACCTTACGTAACAGACAAACCCATAGCTGTCCCAAAAGAAACTTTTATCTGCCGGCTAAGTTTTAATCTACTATCAATTTTACAAACTTAAACCACTAAATTCTTCATATTTTCATCTGCATGCGGGACATAATCAAGGTATGCATGCCCTTCGTTTTCTTTTCCAAGGCTGTCATGTTCACTCAATAAGTATTTTGAGTCTTGACATTAGGTGAAGAAGAAAGTGCGCAGCCCCCTCTCTCTCTCTCTCCTCTTCATTTATACTTGTGTGATTATTTGACACTTGACTAATTCAATAGAAATTAGTGTTAAATTTTTTTATATAATATATTAGTGGGATTATTTTTTAATCAAAGACTATAGATTGAATTAATGGTCCTCGGAGTGTATTTAAGAAAAAAGATAAATTGATATATAAATATAATTTTTTGGCCAACGAAATAAGCTCAGCAACATCATTTTATTTTCTTATTTTTGCTTTCTTCAAAAATAAAATTATGATTTTGATTTTTTAAAAATCAAACAGAAAGTAGAATTGTATTTAGTAAGTGCCAACTACTTTCGAAATTTGAAAGCAAAACACAAAATGTGTGTTTAATTAAAAAAAAAAAAAAAAAAAAAAAAAAAAAAAATCTGTTTTTACCTTTGGTTATTGAATTGGGAACATAAACAAGATCTTTATATGTTGAAATAATTATTTTAAACCATAGTTATTATAACAAATCATTGAAATTCAAGCATCTCTAACGTCCATATTGAGTGTAAAATAACAATTTGAATCGACCAGACATCATTGTAAAAGAACAACAAAATGATGATTAAATTGTTCAAATTGTAAATCAATCTCAAAGCATAAAATCCAAATGTCTAAAAAATGCCTTGGTTTATTGAAGAAAAAAAATTCGCTTATAATAAGACTTTACAATCCTTCAATACCGCTATCCTATGCAACTCCTAATGGTTATTTGCTATGGAGTTGTTCCAATTCTCTTTTCCAAACCAAGTAGCAAAAGATTTGGATTCTTGGAAATCACTCTGGGCTTCAATTTCAGCTGGTGTGACTAACTGAAACATGGAGAATGTATGGTGTACCAAGGTCAAATGTTCTTGAACTGTTAGAATGGTAGTTTCATAAATTAAGTTGACCAATTTACAATTCAGAGGGTGATAATGTCAATTTACATGAGTTGAGGTGTCTTTGTTAACTTGAGGATGTGTAATTGTTCCCAAAAAAAAACTCAACTTGTATATGGGTGTTCTTGTGATAAATTTACGGAGGTGTTATTGTACTTTATTCTATAAAATATTCAAAATGTTACTTTTAATATTTCAAAAACGGATATGAATTATAATTGCATGTTAGAATTGTGGAAAAGAAAATTTAATTTCGGGACAGATGAAGCAACACGTAAGTCTCTCACTTCCTATCACAGACTGCTGCAAAACTCATACAGCAAAATCAATGAATATGAGAGAAGAGGAGAAAAGAAGAGAAGATAGAGAGAGAGAGAGTACTTACGGCTGCCGGGAGTGGTAGGTCCACCACTTGGTCCTGATGGCATAGAAGAATTGCCGTGAATACTTGCACCAGTAATTTTACTATGTCCGTCTGCAAAACTCATGTATAACAAAATGAATGAATATATATATATATATATATATATATATATATATGAAAGAGAGAGAGACTACTTACAGTTGTCAGAGGGTGCAGATGAAACCATGAGAATCCAAATCATGAACAAGCAGCATATGACAGAAGAAGCTTTGCTTATCATTTTAATTTGCTTTTCTAGTTATGTGGTTCCAACCAAGAACTGTGAAGAACTCAACGGAGGAAGAGGAATTAGTTGTAGTATAGTATGTTTGAGATTAATAACGTATATGAAAAATGTATTGCTTATTTCTGCAAGTGGGCTTTCACTGTAGAAAGACTTTGACTTAAAAAGTAGGTTTGACTTCACGACAAATTTGTCCCACCACTTTTTGGATCAATTTCACCATCCAAATTTCATAATATCTGACACGAAGTGTCTTTTGTTTGCACTGTAAAATATTATTTTGGATTAATTTTAAGATTCTATGTGAGATTTGGACAAATTTTACACAGGAGTTTTTTTTTATCACTCATATTATAAATAAAAGTTTGGTCTTTTTTTTTTTTCACATTCCAAATGTTATTTTTTTGTATTGTTAAAATATTTTTTTGCTTGTAAAATGATTTTGTTATGCTTTTGACTTTGAGTGAGAACTGTTTTATTTATAAAATAATATTTATACCCTATTGAAATACTCTTGTTACCAATTATTTTTATAATATTTAAAGAAAATATTGTTATTTGACTATTAAGCATAAAAAATTATCTAAAATGTAAAAAATAATATATATGTACAATGGTAAAAAATAAAATATATGTACAATGTAGATCTATATACAAATATATTATTTAGTATACATATCAATTTTTTTATTATTTAGTTTTAAAATAGGCATTTCAAGAGATGTAACTCATGCAATTAAAAACATATAGATTTATATATCCATTATCTATACCATATAATAATGATGTATGAATTATTATGCTTTAATGAGTTTTTTTTTATGTGAAAAAAAATATATCATAAATATATATCTACAACGCACATCTATATACAAATAATTTAGTATACATATGAAATTTTTTATTATTTATTTTTAAAGTAGGCATTTCAAGATATGTAACTCATGCAATTAAAAACATATATATTTATATATCATTATCTATACCGTTAATGATGTATGAATTATTATGCTTTAATGAATTTTTTTTTGTGAAAAAAAAAAATATATAAAAATATGTTAAGAAATTTCTTACACTCTTAGGATAGTATAAATATATATAGATATGGTAAAGGTCTAAGTTGAGATTGGTAAAATAATTTGTTTAAAATTGATGACTCTACTAATTGTTGGTTTTGCTTTTCACCTTGCAGGTGATTGGATCTCCCCTTATGGCTTATATGTATGTAATTATTTTTAGATATTTCTTATGGCATAGGGTTAGTTATATGTTAAATATCATCATATATATTTACCAACAATTAGTAATTACATCTTAATTTTTAATGATGAGGAAGGAAAAAAAGAGAGTAAAAAAGTGTTTGATTTATAAATCATTTACAGAGAAGTGTCCGCATGCATAATATTTAAATTATTATTATTTATTTTTTGGTAAGAATAATTTTCAAATTATTTAGAGTGATTGGCAAGTATAAGATAAGTCATGAGAACTCCACCAAGGAAAATAAGGGAAGTTGAGATGATATAGGATAAGTTTCTTTTTTGAACAGTTTTTCTATTTTGATTAGGATGAAAAAATTCTATATAAAGCTTCGTAATTTTTATGGTTCGATTAGGGTTTTGTAATCTTCTTCTTTCCATGAAAATCGTTCCTAGAAACCTGGTTCGTGATGGGGCTGGCAGTGTGAAGATGGTTCCACAAGAATCCGATGATTTATGGGTTGCTTATAACTTGATAGCTGTGGGTGACACCGTCTTAGCTGTTACAGTCAGGAAAGTTTTAAGAGAAACAGCTTCTGGAGAAACAGCTGCGGAACGCGCGAAGCTGAAACTGGAAACAAAAGTGGAGGCTGTGGATTATGACAAAGAAGGGGGTGTTTTGCGCATTCGTGGAAAGAACATACTGGAAAACAAACACGTTAAGATAGGGGCATTTCACACTCTAGAAATTGAGCTTCAACGACCTTTTGTGCTAACAAAGGAAATTTGGGACTCACTTGCATTAGATGTACTCCGTCAAGCTTCAGATCCCTGTGCAACTGCGGATCTAGCGGTGGTTTTAATGCAAGAAGGATTGGCACAGATCTTCCTAGTTGGTAAAAGTGTAGCAAAACTACTCGTTCACGGATGGAAGTGCCAATTCCTCGCAAGCATGGGCCTTCCATTGCTGGTTATGATAAAGCTTTGAGCAAGTTCTTCGACAATGTTTTACAGGCTTTCCTGAAATACGTTGACTTCAAGGCTGTCCGCTGTGCTGTGATTGCAAGTCAGGGTTCAAGGATCAATTTCATTGTCACTTACTGTTGGAGTCTGAACCTTTATAGAATATAAGAACCCCCGGACCCAAACCTTTTTAGATTTATTTATTATTTTAATTTTTTTTACTTATATATTTTTAGTGGGGAATAAATGTAACGGCCCTAAAATGATACCAACTTAAAATAAAAAATAAAAAAAAAATCGGCATGACCTCTACTAAAAAGGATCCTTCAACAACCTGCTTAAATGCAAAAAAATGCCATGCCCTCTATTAAACCTTCAAAACTTCTCTAACTTGTCCCAACACATAATGCAAATAATATAAAACATTTACAAACCAACAACATCAACAACCTCCTCAAAATAGCCCATCATCATCATTCCATTCATTCAGAACAAAGGAGTACCTGTCTTATACATAATATCATGCTCACATATTATAATTTTACTCCAATTACATCGATTTATAGTCCATGAAACAAAATTACAATAACAAGAGTTCATAAGTCTCTATATCGAATATAACAAACTAAAGTTTTATAAAAACATAATGGGGCTTAGATACAAAAATAGCAAAATGATCTTCTAATCCAAATTAGGCCTGTGATGGAACGTCATCCGCCACTTCTTTCCCGTGTCCTGAAAAATATTAATATAAGGGATGAACAAATTGCTCAGTAGGTAGTGCTTAAGGCACAACTCTTGAAACCCCGTGAATTCACACCATGAATAGCAATAAAAGAACCGAGATCATGCTATGCCAGAAAAATAACCACACAATCACACCAATAACCCAACTCATGAAAGAAGATGCCATGAAATGAAATGTCATGTCGTGCTATGTCTCTCCCCATTTTCCAAAACCATATCCGTCATCATTTCCAAATCGTTAGTGAAACCCGTCCCATGGTGACCCCCTGGCGACACGAGAGGAGGATTGGCTACTGTCCCTGACTCATGGTCACCCCGTGGTGTCATTTCGGGCCCAGATAGCTCAACCACATTAAGAAGAATTTCCCTAATCCCCTCTAGGCCTCACTAACACCACAGCCCTTCGGCAACCTCTAGGTGATCGGGTTTTTCATAAAACCGTATTTGAAAACTTCTTCCCGAAAACCCCGTTTCAATTTTTTTTTTTTCTCAAAACATTATTCCCCATTTCTTCCCAATGAGGTGCATGAATGCATCATGTCATGTCAATATTCATGACTACACATTTAATTCCATTCAAAACTACATAGCATACGACACATGAAATTTCAAGATATTATGCTCTCATTTAACAACAATATAAGCACAACAAGCATATCATACATACATTCATTTCATATAAACATGCTTTCTCATAACACTTCTATCAACACATACTCTCACATTTGCAAATATATCATTTGAACAATTATTGTAATAATTCATCCAAAATAGGCATTCTAAAACACAATATACACAAAATAATTCACAAAATTTCAAGAAAACATGAATTAAACACCCCTACCTCAAAGAAGGATAATACCCCTACCTCAAAGAAGGAGAATACCCCCAATTCTCAAGCCCTAGATTCGAAAATTCAAGGAGGCACCAAAGCTGAAATTGCTTATATCTATGTGAAGATCTCGCCTCGTTCTTCGTTTTGCCGCAAATGGCACCCAAAATTTCCCATAATTGGAGAGTAATTGTAGTTTGAAGTTGAAGAAAGAAAAAATAAAAGAGAGAGAGAGAGAGAGAGAGAGAGAGAGAGAGATGTATACTACTGGGGAGAGAAGAAAGTTTTAAGGCCAAAATAATGGCTTCTTGGCCTTTAGAAGAGTGAGTAGGGAGTGGGCCCCACCACTAAGCATTAAACCCATTTTTTACATACATATATATATATATAAAATTCATAAACATTACATTTTTCCTAACTTTAAAAGATTTCGTCCTAGAAATCAAGTAATACCTGAGGGAGAAAACAACTCTGAATACTTGGAGCGAACCTCCTGTTCAAGCTCCCAAGTAGCCTCCTCGACTCCGCGATGCCTCCAAAGAACCTTCACTAGTAGTATCATCTTGTTCCTCAACACCTTCTACTGTGTGTCAAGGATCTGAACTGGTTCCTCCTCATAAGAAACATCTTCATCAATGTCCACATCAACCCAACTCAAAATGTGAGATGGATCCGGCTCGTACTTCTGTAGCATCGATACATGAAAGACATTGTGGACTCTGTCCATCTGCAGTTGCAAAACAAGTCTGTAGGCAACCTCTCCTACCCAGTCCAAGATCTCAAAAGGTCTAATGAATCGTGGCGACAACTTGTCACTCTTCCCAAACCTCAACAACCCCTTTCGTGGAGAAAGACGTGGTCTCCCACCTCAAAGGATAGCAGCCGTCTCCGCCTATCCGCATAACTCTTCTGTCGGCTCTGAGCTCTGAGCAATCTCTGTCTGATCAGTTTAATCTTCTCAGTAGTCTCGCGTACTATATCGGGTCCTAAGGCGGCTGTCTCGCCCACCTCAGTCCAACAAACAGGAGACCTACAAGGTCTACCATACAACGCCTCAAATGGAGCCATCTAAATACTCGTCTGATAACTGTTGTTATAGGCAAACTCAAAGTGAAAGGTGATCCTCCCAACTACCTCCCAAATCAAGTACACATGCCCAAAACATATCCTCCAAGATCTGGATGGTACGCTCCGACTGGCCGTCCGTCTGTGGATGAAATGCCATACTAAGGTGCAACGATAAACCAAACGTTGCTTGAAGTCCTTCCCAGAACCTCAAAGTGAGCTTGGCATCCCTATCTGAAACAATAGCCACTGGAACTCCTTGCAACCTCACAATCTTTTTCACATAAAGAACACCAAGTGCCTCTGCGTCATCTGTTGCCTTAATAAGCAAAAAGTGAGCCGTCGTGGTCAATTTATCAATAATGACCCATACGGCTTCATTTCCCCTCCGTGATCTAGGAAGACCTGTCACAAAATCCATAGCAATCTGCTCTCATTTCCATTGCGCTACAGGTAATGGTTGCAATAAACCGGCTGGTCTCTGATGCTCGACCTTCACCTGTTGACAGGTAAGGTACCTAGCCACAAACTGCGCAACATCTTTCTTCATTCCATTCCACCAATACTGTCTTCTCAAATTGTGATACATCTTAGTACCACCTAGATGAATTGCAAAGCGGGAAACTCCCGTAGAACATCCTCCTGACAAACTGTGGGAACAACCAACAAACCCCTAAACCGTAAACCTCCATCTGCATGTAAAGTCCAATCCTTCCTTGTCTCACCACCAAAAATCAAAGTGTGAATAGCATCCAAATCCGGATCCTGCCTCTGTGACTCAATCACTTGTCTGACAAGAATGGGCTGAGCCACGAGACTAAACAAGAATGCTGACTCACTGCCAACATCATCATCAAAGCAAGACAATCCCATTTCTGCCAAATCTTCAAGCATATTTCACTTCCGAATGGCTAAACCAGCCAAAGTCCCACAAGATTTCCGGCTTAAGGCATTAGCTACCACATTTGCCTTGCCTGGATGATATTGCAAGTCAAAGTTGTAGTCGTTCAAAAACTCAATCCATCGCCTCTGTCTGTTGTTCAAGTCCTTTTGGGAGAAAAGATACTTAAGACTCTCATGATCCTAGAACACCTTGAATTTCTCACCATACAAGTAATGTCTCAAACACTTCAAAGCAAACACGAGTGCCGCTAACTCTAAATCATGAGTACGGTAGTTAAGCTCGTGAGTCTTTAACTGTCGAGACCCATAAGCCACTACTCTACCATCCTGCATTAACACACAATCCAAACCATCACGTGAAGCGTCACAACAAATCACATAACCTAAGCTACGCTCGGGTATCACCAACATTGGAGCTGTAGTCTCTTGTCTTCAACTCCTGAAAGGAAGACTCGCAAACTTCATTCCATGTAAATTTGATCCCTTTCCAGGTCAGGCGAGTCATAGGCACTGCCAAGCGAGAAAAATCTTTCACAAATCTTCTGTAGTAACCCGCTAAACCAAGAAAACTGCAGATCTCAAACACATTCTTGGGTTGCTCCCAATTCAGAACTGCCTTTATCTTTGATGGATCAACCGATACTCCACCTTCCGAAACAACATGCCCCAAAAACTTCACCTCTTATAGCCAAAACTCACACTTCTCATATTTGACATATAATCGGTGCTCTCGCAAAATCTGCAATACAATACTCAAATGGATCTCGTGCTCCTCCGAAGATCGTGAATACACAAGAATGTCATCCACAAAAACTACCACAAATTAGTCCAAGTAATCGTGAAAGACGCGGTTCATCAAATCCATAAATGCCGCTGACGCATTAGTCAAGCCAAAGGGCATAACAAGGAACTCATAATGTCCATACCGAGTATGGAATGCCGTCTTTGGGATATCCTCATCCCTAACCCGTAACTAATAGTAGCCTGACCTCAAGTCAATTTTTGAAAAATAATTGGCTCCCCTCAACTGATCAAACAAATCATCTATCCTTAGCAAATGATACTTGTTCTTGATAGTATCATGATTCAACTTCCGGTAATCAATGCACAACCTCAAAGAACCATCTTTCTTCTTAGTAAACAAGATCGGTGCGCCCCACGGTGACACACTAGGTCGAATGAAACCTTTCATCCTCAAATCATCAAGTTGTCTTTTCAATTCTTCCAACTCAACTGGTGTTATACGATACGGTGCCATAGAAATCGGCACGGTACCGGGTATCAAATCAATAGTAAACTCCACTTCTCGGTGTGGAGGCAACCTTGTCAAGTCCTCTGGAAAAACATCTAAGAAATCACGAAAATCCTCTTCCACAATTATGAAGACTATTACTTCTTCGGCTAAAAGACTAGCCAAGAAGTAATCACCAAGACTCCGTCCATGAATTCCATACAATTATGAAGGTTGGGAATCACTTCGATCTCCCACGAAAAAGAAGCAATCTCCATCGGGAGTGCAAACTGTAACTCTTCCTCTGAAACAATTGATCGTAGCACGAAATGAAGCTAACCAATCCATCCCGAGAATAACATCAAAGTTAGTCATTTCCAGGAGGATAAGGTCAAACACAAAAGTCCGCCTGGCTATCACGATGGAGCAATCCCTCACAATTCTGCTTAAAGACACTGAAACCCCAACTGGAGTATCAACACATAACGCCCGATCCATGAAACTAACCTCTAAACCCCGATGCAAGTGCAAATGATGATTAAATGAAAGAATAAGATGCACCAGAGTCAAACAAAACACGGGCCCAAGAACCAAACACTGGAAATATACCTCGGAGAACTGATAGACCCAAAGATGTATCGGCTTGAGCAAGTGTAAAGACACATCCCTGTGGTGTCTGTGCCTGAAAACTACCAACCTAAACACCTGACTGCCGCACCGACACAGTAGGAGTATCCCTCCTAGCTGGTCGTGAACCTTGAGAAGACATGGCAGGCTATGGTGGTGGTGGTTTAAAACCTGACTGAATTGTAGCCAACTGTAACGGCCTCTGTTTTGACCCTCTACCATTACCGGTGCCTGCTCCCTAATTCAGACAATCCCGAATCATATGGCCTTGCTGGTTACACCCATAACAAGCTCTAGACAAGTTCATAGGACATTTGGACTTGTAATGTCCAGGCTGCTGACACTGATAACAAATAACCCCACTCTTATCTGACCCAGCTGGCACAGGAGTAGTAGGAGCAGATCGTGCAGACTGCTGCCCCTGAAACTGAGATGAACTACCCCTGTTCCTCTTCCATGAAGGTCTCTCTGAAGATGGTCCTGCATTCCTCTTTTGTTTCCACTGTTCCTTTCCTGCATTTCTGTCTTTAGCTTCCGCCTCAAACATCAATGCCCTTTCAATTGCCTCCAAATAAACTTTGAAGTACTGTGCCATTATCAACGGCCTCATTTTGTAATCAAGATCGAAAATAAACTTTCGAGTCTTATTAACCTCATTTCTCACTAACTCAGGAGCAAAGCAAAAAAGAGAAATGAACTTGTTCTCGTATTCCGTCACTGACATATTGCCTTGGATAAGGCCATTAAACTGTTCCCTTAGCTCCCACCTCTTGGTAACCCAAAAATACTTCTTATAAAATAGCTCTTTAAACATTTCCCAACTCATCTCTTCAATCTTGTGCTGATTAGTGACTGATTTCCACCAAAGCTTAGCATCCTTTGAAAACTTGTAAGTGGCTAGGATGATTTTCAAGTGATCATCCGTCACTTCCATAGAAGTCAAGTGGGTTTCCGCTTGGTCCATGTAGTCGTCCGCTACCATTGGATCTGCACCACCCTCAAACATCACAGGCATCAACTTAGAAAACCCTGTAATCAACTTGAGACGCTTCTGTGCTGGCGTCTCCTTTACCTGAACTACCGCTTGTGGTATCGGTTGCGGAAGAGTAGCAATTGTAGCCCTAAAGGCACTCTGTAGCAAACAGTTCAATGCCAGCTCAGCTGAGCCTTCACCCGCTTCAACAGGTGCTTCAACATTGTCCCTTAGTGTGAAGACACCTTTAGGGGGAATCAAGTCCCTAAGAAATGTATCCTCTTCAACTTGCTCCGCGGGATTGGAGATAGAACTCTCACCAACATCTCCTCCAACTTCCCTTGGTTCCTTTCGCGGTGGCATTGTGCTATAAAGCAAGAAAATGGTTCAATAATGATAACACTAAGGTCTAACCGTGAACAACTCAACACAAAAGGATGTTGCACAACATGCAAGACCGCAATGAATACATTAATATAAGCATATAAGCACATAAGCAAGGAAACAGTTAAACATATTTTTTCATATAGCAAAACACTTTAACAAATAATCACATAAACTATGAAAATGACTTCCCATACAACCTTATGTAGGCCTCTACCCGTCGTCTTAATGGTTTTCGAACCATCGCTCTAATACCAAATTTGTAACGACCCTAAAATGATACCAACTATAAAAAAAAAAAAATCGACATGACCTCTGCGAAAAAGAATCCTACAACAACCTACTTAAATGCAAAAAAATGCAATGGCCTCTCTTGGACCTTCAAAACTTATCTAACCTGTCCCAACACACAATGCAAATAATATAAAATATTCCCAAAACAATAACATCAACAACCTCCTCAAAATAGCCCATCATCATCATCCCATTCATCCAGAACAAAGGAGTACCTATCTTCTACATAGTCCTATGCTCACATACTAGAATTTTACTCTAATTACATCAGCTTACAGTCCATGAAGCAAAATTACAATAACAAGAGTTCACAAGTCTCTATACCGAATATAACAAACTAAGGTTTTACAAAAACATGATGGGACTTAGATACAAAAATAGCAAAATGATCTTCTAATCCAAAAATATTAGAAGAACGTCATCCGCCACTTCTTTCCCGTGTCCTGAAAAATATTAATATAAGGGATGAGCAAATTGCTCAGTAGGTAGTGCTTAAGGCACACCTCTTGAAATCCCGTGAATCCACACCATGAATAGCAATAAAAGAACTGGGATCATACTATGCCAGGAAAATAACCACACAATCACACCAATAAACCAAGTCATGAAAGAAGATGCCATGAAATGAAATGCCATGTCGTGCTATGTCTCTCCCCATTTTCCAAAACCATATCCGTCATCATTTCCAAACCGTTAGTGAAACTCGTCCCATGGTGACCCTTGGCGACACGAGAGGAGGATTGGCTACTGTCCCTGACCCATGGTAACCATGTGGCATCATTTGGGACCCAGATAGCTCAACCACACTAAGAAGAATTTCCCTAGTCCCCTCTAGGCCTCACTAACACCACGGCCCTTTGATAACCCCTAGGCGACCGGATTTTTCATAAAACCGTATTCGAAAACTTCTCCCCGAAAATTCCGTTTCATTTTTTTTTTTTTTCCCTCAAAATATAATTCCCCATTTATTCCCAATAAGGTGCATTAATGCATCATGTCATGTCAATACTCATGACTACACATTTAATTCCATTCAAAATTACATAGCATACAACACATGAAATTTCAAGATATTATGCTCTCATTTAACAACAATATAAGCACAACAAGCATATCATACATACATTGATTTCATATAAGCATGCTTTCTCATAACACTTCCATCAACACATACTCTCACATTTGCATATATATCATTTAAACAATTATTGTAAGAATTCATCCAAAATAGGCATGCTAAAACACAATATGCACAAAATAATTCACAAAATTTCAAGAAAACGTGAAAATTCAATTCAAGGAGCCACCAAAGCTGAAATTGCTTATATCTATGTGAAGATCTCGCCGCGCTCTTTGTTTTGCCGCAAACGGCACCCAAAATTTCCCACAAATGAGTGAGTAATTGTAGTTTGAAGTTGAAGAAAGAAAAAAGAAAAAAGAGAGAAAGAGAGAGAGATGTATACTAGTGGGGAGAGAAGAAAGTTTTGAGGCCAAAATAATGGCCTCTTGGCCTTTAGAAGAGTGAGTGGGGAGTGAACCTCACCACTAAGCATTAAACCCATTTTTTACATTATATATATATATATATATAATTCATAAACATTACAATAGATCTAACCAGATGCTGAAAATGAACAGATTTTATAGGAATTCGAAAGGAAATGTTTTCTTAGTCATCTTCCCCTTATTAAAAGATCGAAATATAATATTTTATCATATTCAAAACTAGCTCCTGGTATAACTAGACTAAAAGGCTCAGTGTGTCCTAAATATTGAAGGGAGACATGGAAATCATTTTTACTGTGATAATAAAATAAGTGGTCAATACTCTTCAACATTCATTTCAGTTTCTAAACATAGAATCATAAAGAATTATGGTGTTTTCAGGCAAAAACCAATGTGAAACAATTACGCCATAGGGCCGGTGGTTAGTTAGATACAATTATTAATCACTTCCCCGTCAATGATCAATTGGTCATCCAATTCATAGAGTACACTTGGCAAAAAGAATAGAAGCACACACATTATTTAAGTTTGTTCACTTCACTTTCACTGGGAATTTCCCAAGTCATTCATCCACATATTTATCTACAACCATGTCCGTCAATTGTTGTCACTCGTGCTGTTCTTAAATGCACCTTTCCAACATTTTATAGTATACATCTTATGTCTGGATATTGTCTCAAAAAGTTTATTCTCTCCTCCCCAAACTCTTCCTACAGAGTTACAATCACCTTTCCTAGTTATTCCTTTCGTAGCCATATATATACATATATGTTACTAATCATTTACTCCGTATACCATTTGAAAAACTTCAAAATTTTCCAATCGAACCAAAATTAAACTTACTCCACATGTTCAGCAAGGGCTTTACTAAATGGAAAATTACATAAAAGGATGACCTGCTGAACAATTAGCTTAGAATTTCAACTACAATGTATTAAATATTTTTGATCAAGTAATATTTTTATTTATAAATATATTATAACAAAATACAAAGGCACGATCTCAAATGTCTCATCAAAAGTGATTCTGTAGCTAATTTATTACATTATTAACCAATATTCATTCTATAAATATGAATAACTCCTTAAAAGTTTTCATGGTCCCGGAATCATTCTAATGTCATAGGTACCCCCTATGCCTTACATGGTAACAGGTGTGAGCCAAGGTTCTTGAGAAGCCCATCTCCAGCCACCAACTGGTTTCCCAAGAATTTGGCATCAACAATATAGGGTTAATGTATAAATGTCATGTCAAGAGCCAATCATGTAACAATTTCAAAACTTGATATATCATACTACGATATGTGAAACAGAAAAAAATAGTTGACATTGAGGCTTCTCCTTTCATTTCTTTGTTCATGAATGACCTGCGGCACCATCTGCTCAGAATTTCATTTACAATATTTTATATATTTCTTGACCAAGTAATCTATGTATGATATAAAGCAAAATGTAATCGAACAATTTTATATAACTATGACAATAAATCCATAACTAGCACACTATTAACCAAATATATATCATAAATGTGAATGATAACCTATTGATTTCAAGGTCAACATATCATTCCAAGAGCTACCCTGGTATATGGGTCAGCCAAGATACAATGCAAATCTAACTCCTACAATAAACCGGCTTTATCAAGTATTTGGCATCAACCATAGAGGCTTCATGTATTATAATCAATTCAAAAGTCAATCTTACCAACTTGAGACATTTGAGCGTCTAACACCTCACTTCCATGTCCTATTGCAATAATCATGCCCAACTCCTCATATCATATGCAACGTGTCACTCTAGCTGTAAGCAATCATGGGTGAAGGTAGGCTCAAGCTCACTCTCGGGTTAAGGGCACAGGAGAAGGATTTGGTAATGACTTAGCCTCACAGATGGTACCATAACTTATTTCAGATCAAAACATTACCACAAATGACTGCTAGATTGTAGAGGCAATTTTCTGGAGGGACCTCAATATATTAATTACATATTCAGAACAAAATATGTCAAGATTGTCTAAAGATCCCAATTAGCACTGCAAGTCAATTGGCAATATCCTAGCTCCGCCCTTTTTGGTGTTACATGGAGAATAGAACACACCATTATGATATGAAGAGAAGAATTTAAGTTCACGAATTACACATATGAAAGAAACTAAAATCATCTCACCCCGTTAAAGATGTATTGAAAACCACTTCACCAACTTGGGTTCCTGAAACACCAAATGACTTTGCCCTCTAAATAGAACCATCTTCCAGGACAAGTCTGGCATCTGCTACCTTCCAAGGTCTTTCTCCCAAGCCTAAGGCTCATCCAGAAAACTTTGCATTACACTCAAAGATATAGAGAGCGCCAAGGAGATCAACAAGTACTGCTATTTCTAGATAATTAATTGACAGCAAGAAGTTTAAAAACAAAAAATTGCCAAAAAGAACATGTATTTGCAAGGAGAAGCAAACATTGCACTTCCCCCCATATCTTATAAGAAAAATAAAGAGACAAAACCAAGAAGTAATGAACAACTAAACTAGTTTTCTCTGAAATGGAGTGGCATAAAGCTGATGAGTAAGGATGCAATTTCCATGCACATCATGCCCAAGCTAATTTGGGGCGGAGGCCACATTTCAGTCCTTAAAGAAAACCCTAATTATAATCAATTATTATCAACTGTCCAAAAGAATGGAGAGGTCATATAGCTGAAATATGCTCTGCTGAACCAAATCACCTGAGTTTGATGAATCAGATAGTACAAGAATTCAATGAACGCAAGACATACAATAGAGCTACGGAAATGTGACTCCCATTAATCTGATTCCAGTGGCACATGAATTTAGTTTTCATCCAAAAGCAATAATATGCAGATTAAAAATCCCTAATCTGTTCTACATAGATCTCAACTATAAAGGCACACACAACAACAAAAAATAACTAACTAGAATTAGAAGTAAGCATTTTTACTGAGAAAATTATGGAGAAAAAATTAATATTTCTTCAAACTATTGCTCTATAAACACAAACAACGACACGAGCGAAGATAAATGGAAAGAGTTGTTATGAAATATAAATTTCAAGACAAGGAGAAAAAAGGTGTCACAAATATATACAGACATTCATAGAAATTAACAAATGTATACATACATTCGTTTACAGGCATATACACGGGTGTGTTACCAAGGGCAGCACCGTCCATGTAGAGAGAAGCAGAGGAGCATCTGACGGTGGAAACCCTAAATTTGGGTGATTTCAAAGCGAAGCCAGTTGATAATGGAAGACTTCTCACACTGTACTCTCTCTCTCTCTCAACTCGGCTTCTGGCGGTTTGGTTTATGAGACGATGGGCTTAACGTTTATACAATTATACATATATAATTATATATATACCGGCTAGGAATGTTAATACACGATCTTGATGGTTCTAATAATAAGGTAAAAGATCACTGACCTTTTCTGAGCTTTGGTGAAATTACAGTGAGCGAAAATTTTTTAGTACAACAAAAAAGTTCAACAACTTATTATCTTATATAACAATTTACCACTTATGGCTGTCAGAGATTAAGATGGAATTACTATTATATATTCTGATTGTTTAGTAATAAAAAGAATGAAGAAATCTGGTATTGTAAAATGAAGTACTTTTTTTAGTTGAATTATAAAATGAAATACTTGCTTATGTATAATTAACACTAGACTCATGGAATATAATAAACATTATTTTAACAATATATATATATATATATATATATATATATGTATAATTAACACTAGACTCATGGAATATAATAAACATTATTTTAACAAATTATATATATATATATATATATATATATATTGTGGTGATGTTAGCTAATTAGAATGACATCTGTGACTATAATTTTTAATTTTTAATTTTTAATTTTTATATCTTCATCATATGACATCGACTCGTTAAGTAATGAGAACGAATGTTGCAAATCAGAGTTTGAGCTTAAATATATTCAGACTTAGCTTATTTATTTGTGGGTTAGGTTTGAGATTGTAACGTGTTCTGACTCATTTTATTTTTTGTGGGTTTGGCTCGGGATCGTAACAAGTTTTGATTTAGCTCGTCATTATTTTAAAAAATTTGATTTAAACTTGTATTCAAGATCGTTTAGCTTGTTCATGAACATAAACAAGCTTATATAAATTTATGTAAGCATATTCGTGAGTTTACTTCCATGAACTTATACAAGTGTTTGTTTATGAACGTATTTACGAACATATAAGAGCCTACACAAGTCGAACCCAATATTGTTTAGAATCGATTTGTTTACTAAACAATTCTAAAAAACGAACTTGAATTTAACTCGTTTGCTTAACAAACCAATCCAAATTAAACTTTAAACCAGCCAAACTTAAAAACTATTAATAAACAACTTGATTCATTTGACTATTTATGAACTTAGGTATAATAAAATATAGTTTAATTTTATTTTATTCTTCTTTTGTCAATTATGAGCCTATATTTTTTAAATGATAATTCATTTGTCCCATTAAAAGTGTTATATTTAAAGGATTCCTTAAACATAACACTTTTATAAGAAAAAAAGTACAAAATAATGTGTGGGGTCAAGTCACATGAAATGCACATGCAAGTTACACTCCAAAGTCAAAACTGCCCAAATGCAGTGTTGCAGTTGTAAACTTGCAAGTTACCATGAAGTGCGCTTTCAGTCACTCTAGAGTTGATGTTAGTTCACACGGAGTATTATTACAGCATTATTATTTATTTTATTTATCTATTTATTTACCCAGATCATTTTATTCACTTTTCAAATGCACTTTTGGGTCCCTCGAGTTGGAGCCTAATGATATTCCTCCACTTTACAAAGTAAAGGATTGGGGTCCAAATCCCCCTAACAAATACTTGTTCAAGTAGGGATGACAATTTCCTTTATTTCGACGGGTTTTTGTCCTGTCTCATTTCTAATGGACAGATTTGATAGTCCTAAAAAAGAATTTAGGATGAATATTGTAAAATAATTAAAAACTCGGAGCGGATTTAGGGTGGGAGCGGATTTGGTGATGACTTCGCCCCGATTATATATGTATCTTTAAATTTTTTTTTTTATATATATATTTAATTATTTTACGAATCTTGTTACTTTGTTGGAAGTATTAGTTAATATATTAATATTTATTGCGTAATAATTTAAAAGTTTGGTTAACTTATTTATAAGTCTAATTTGAGTACATTGGACAAGTTTTTTTTTTAGAAAAAAACATAATAAAAGTGACATAACACATCCCGTAATTAAATGGAATATGCGAGATGGAGTCAGTACTTTGTTTACTAGAGTAGGGGTGGAGATGGTATACCAATTATAAACTCATCCCGAAGTTGGGGTGGAGTTGGTATGACTGATTTTCTAACGGAACGGAGTAGAGTTTAGCCAAACCCGCCTCAACTCTGCCCCGTAGCCATCCCTATGTTTAAGTGTGTTTTTGCCAAAAATAAAAAAACATGCACTTTGTAATTTTATTCATTTGTGAGTGTAACTCAAACTTAAAAAGTAACCAATGAAGCAAATTCTATCCAATCACAGTCCAAATAAAACCATTTTTCATTACCAACACACGAGAAACATACAAACACCACTAATTTGGTCGTTGCTCCGGTAGTTTTTTGTTGACTTGTTTGAGCTGTCGGTGTGTTGGATAGCATTGTTTTATGTCTTCTTTCTTCTTTCTTCATTATTCACACTTGTTACTTGTTGTCTCAATGGCAAATTGGGCATCTATGCTCCAACTAAGGTGGAGTATTGAAGATTTAATAGAAGGAATCAGTGGAGGAAAATGATTAATTAATGTTGTTTCCTATTATGTTTCCTATTATTGAAGATTTGGTATTACTAGAGGAATAGAAAAAAAAAATTCCTTGTTTCCTATTTTCTAATTTTTTCTATTATCATAACTTCTTTTTCGAGTCTTCACCATTATATTGTATATGAATTGAGAGAGTATTATAAAAGTGATGTAGCCCTTAGAATTTTTTATGTCGTGAATGTAGACCCTAATAACTTAATGTTACAAGTGAAACTTGTCCCACATCGGATTTGGATGGGGGTTGAAGTGTGTATAAATGGGTGGGTATGCCGTACTACCCAATAGTTCGAGTTTTTGAGTAAATGGGCAAGCGTCCACCCGTTACAGTTGGTATCAGAGCCAGACCCAGTCCTTAATCCGATGTCACGCTAAGCGCCCGACCCGGAAGGCGTCCAGGTCTGCCTCCGGGTAGGCAGGGTAGTCCGACCGCAACGAGGATGTTACGTGGGTTCGGGTGAGGGAGAATGTTACAAGTGAAACTTGTCCCACATCGGATTTGGATGGGGGTTGAAGTGTGTATAAATGGGTGGGTATGCAGCACTACTCAATAGTTCGAGCTTTTGGATAAATGGGCAAGCGTCCACCCGTTACACTTAACCACTTGTTTAATTTCATTTCGCTTTCATTTTATACTTTACAATTGGGAGAGATGGAGAGACCTTCCGTGTTAGTATTAATATATTGATTTTTTACTGGAACTACAAGAAATATACTCATAATCTGGGAATTCATCCACCCTTATTTCTGTGCGAATAAAGCTCATTGCATATGATTTCGGAATCAAGCATAATATACTATTTCTTGAATCGAACCCCTCCAATATTTAGAGACTGCTTCAACAATTTTTTTTTTTTTTTTTTTTTTTTTCTTTTTAAATTTCCAACAATACCCCCATATCCTATTATAAGTTTATAACATAGTTAACTGGTAATTACCAAGAAAAAAATTGTATGTCAAATTAAATCAGAAGAAATTTAAATATAATGCTACAATTTTCTGTTAAGTTGTCAATATGTTGCCAATTTTCTGTTAAGTCGTCAATTTGTTGCATTAGTTTATAACCAATTAGCATATGACTGAAAGGCTTGCCAGATGTCTTTCTGGCTCTTTAAGAGAGAGAACATATATAAACAGTTGCTTCTACTTGATCTGATTAATAAAACAATTTAGGAAATTTTTAAGTATGAAATATTCTATCAGCTGAGTGTTCCAATAATTTTCATAGAAGCTTAATAATTTAACTGTGGTTTCACTCTAGTGAGAATGAAATAAAACTAAACCAAAGCCCTTAAATCCTACTGTATTTTCGCAGAATCAAATCTAGTTTGGTTCTCGCCTCTATTGGATTGTAGTCAATGTTCAACTTGTATTAGCATTTAAAATTATATGTTGGATTAAGACAACAAATATACCTGTCATATTTTTAAAATCATTTAGTAAGAATAAAAGAACTATGGAAACAATTGACTTAATTGGTTGTCACGGTTGGATTAAAGAAAATTTAGAATAAATATCAATTTGGTACTTCCCGGGAAGGAAGGAAAAAAAAAAAAAAAAAAAAAAAAATCAATTTGTGATTGATTATAATAATTAAATCCATGCTACAGTTTTTATAACTTTTCACACCTATTTGCCCTTATCCCCATAACTCTATCTGTGACGCATAAGATTCGCACCATCCCGCTTCAAACAAGTAAAAAAGCTTGCTAGCTCACTAGTTCTCAAGGATATAGACTTCCCGTGTCAAACTAAAAAAAAGTTTTGATTTCCAACAGATAGTACTAATGCATGCATATACGTCTGTCTGTCCGTATATATATGTGTGTGTGTGTGAGCGAGTCCAGCAAGATGTTTAGTTACAATCATAATAGCACTTGCATTATACGCTTTTATAAGCATTACATGACAGAAGCAAATAACATAAAACAACGGACAACGGCTACAGTGAATTCTGATACTAGTATAAGTTACATGGAGCTATTAGTTGGGCACGGAGGAGTGGCAATGTCAGTAATCCCCTCCAGCATCAGCACTACACTCTTCATTGAAGGACGAAGAACCGGTTCATCCTGAATACACCATAGTCCCACTTTTACCATCTTCTCCAATTTCTTCTTGTCAACTTCTCCACCGCCCACGAGCTTGTTCAATTCCCTATCAACAAAACACTTGTACACCCAATTGGAAAGAACAACCTCCTCTGCTTCTGATACATGGACTTCTATGTTCCTTCTGCAACATACAATTTCTAGCAGCACTATTCCATAGCTGTAGATATCAACCTTCACCGTTATTGGGATGTTCTTTTGCCATTCAGGTGCCAAGTAGCCTCTAGTCCCTCTGACCTGCGTGAAGGTCCTTGTTTGATCTGGCATCAGTAACTTTGCCAACCCGAAATCAGAGATTTTAGCAGTCCAGAAATCATCCATCAAAATGTTGTGAGGCTTTATATCGCAATGCACGGTGGGGGCCTCACACTCTTCATGTAGATAAAGGATCCCTCTAGCAATATTCAGCGCAATCCTCACTCTCTCATTCCAATCCGGGCGCCTTGGAGCCCGAAACAGAAGATCTGCAAGTGACCCGTTGCTCATAAATTCATAAACCAGAAGCCTATTTGATCCCTCTGCGCAGTAGCCAAGCAACCGGACTAGATTCTTGTGGTGAGTTCTCCCAATTGCTCGCATTTCTGCTCTTAACTCCTGTTCGCCCTCTTCCGCAATCTTCTCTAGCCTCTTCACTGCAATTAGTTTCTTACCTTTGTACAGAGCTCCTTTGTAAACTGTTCCAAAAGGGCCTTGGCCCAACTTCTCTCTGAAGCCATTGGTAGCCTTTCGAAGCTCATTGTAAGAATATAAACTCGGGGTGAACAACTCAATTAAGCCAGAACTTCCAGTTTCCAACAACCTTCTATACTTTAAAATGCGGTATTTGAAAAAGAAAAGGCCTGAGAATGCAAGGGCAAAGCATGAATAGGTAACCAAGCTCAAACATAGAACAAGAATTATCATCAGTGCTTTCTTGCTTGTGGTCACCAGACTCACCACCACTTGTGGATTTGGAGGGTTGCTGCTTCTAATGGGTTTTGTAGCAACCATGAAAAATATAGTGCTCGTATCTTCATTACGACTACCTGATTGCCTTCTAATATTTCTCAGTGGAAGAGTGAACTTCATGCAATTACCCGATTGAAACATCGATGCGTCACAAAGACAGTCCTCCAAACAGGACTCGCTGCAGTCGTCCTCGGTCATTTCTGCTTTATTGTAAGGACGGTCATAAGATATAAGATTATCCATAGAAATAATTTCGTAAAATTCATTTCTTTCTCCTTCTTTGCACCTTAATCCTTTGGTAAAATTCCTTTCGCAGTCAGTAGACTTGTGATTGGGATCAAGAAAATCAGCACCCGGAATACAACTGCAGTAAGGTTTATCGTCATTTAAGGTACAGTAGCTGTTGAAACCACAGAAGCTCTTCACATCACATATGCTCATACTGTCAATTGCTTCCCACTCGAACACCGGTTTAGAGTTGGCACTGGGATGAGAATACAATCGGAAATTTCCGTCAGCATCAAGGGTTGCTCGGTGGACAATTGTGTTGTTGACAAGAGATGAATCTTTCAATGTTTTGATTGTGGTGGAATCAGTGGTGCCGTTGATGAGTAGCAGTGAACCACTACTATTTAGATAAAGATGATACTGCGGGTTGTTGGGGCTCCAACTATCCAACTGCCAGTAAGCATCTGACGGTAATAGAACGTTAACACAACTCTTGCCTACCGTAGGCGCTAAATATGCAACCAGATTCCCATCATACTGCATCACGAGACAAAACTTTCCAATGGAGTGGTCTGTTTCAGAGAAACTAGAATACAACTGTTGCCCAGTAGAAAGATCTTGGCCACCTACAACGAAATCCTTGCTGTATAGCACAAAATTTCCAGAGTCGAGCATGGAAGCAAAGGAAGCAGAGTGTGGTGAATTGGCAGTGATTGATCTATCTTCACTTTGGGCAGTACTTCTCAAGAGAAGCTTACCGGTGGTAGTGAATTCCAGTGTAGCATTTGAGGACACTGGTGGATCATCACGATTGGCAGTCCATACCGTAGTATTTTGTGAGCCTGCCCCACCCACCAACCAAATTCCCACTTTAAAGCCACCGCCTTGCTGGTAAAATCCAAATGCAAAACGGCCGGAAGGTGACTGCCATGAATTGGGTTGAGTGACTGGGGTGAGAGAAGTGCCCGGGCTTATCGAATTGGACTGCTTTTGCTGGTCGGCACCAACAACCGCTTCAAAGCATACAAAGATATGGAGTAAGAGAACAGCAGAAGTAAAAGAAGCCATATACGAGAGGGAATATGGAGAAATTGACATTCCTACTAGTTTTTGCTTACTATTATTATTTAAGCTACTTGTATTAAAGAAGTGAGTATATGCATATACAAGAAGCTACCTGTGAAGTAATAATTATCACCGACTTATGTTATCACATGTTTTCTTTTAAAACGCGCTGTTATTTATGTGCACATTTTTCTTCCTTGACTATCAGTTTTTCACGCTCTTGACTTTCACTGCACATACTCTCTTTTTGGCGTGTTAGGGCAATATGGTACATTCAGATACGTGTGGAAATTGTAATATGTTTTCTTATTGGACACGTCCAAAACACTATGGGGGAGACCAAAAATTTAATAGCAATGATAATTAATAATTTAATAGTCCGCGCTCTGCAAATTATACTAATAACTAATAAGCTTTACTATTAAATTATTAATTAGAGGAATGTTAATCACAGTCATTTCATAGTCATTTTTAGGATTGGTTAGTTTTAAATGTATTAATTACTTAAATTTCTATTTTAATGGAACCCTATAAACATTACTTTTTTAAACAAACATACCATTTTCAATTATCTAACATTTTTTCTTCTCTCCCCTTTTAATCTATACATATAGAAATGTGTGCCTGTATATATATATATATATATAATAACTACCGTTGTAAATGAATTCTGAGAAAAAAAAAAAAAAAAAAACTATAGATAGGATAATCCATTTTCAAGAAAAAAAAAAAAAAAAAAGAGCTAGAACAAAATTTGAAAAGAAAAAAAAAATATAATAATAAAAATAAAATAAAAAAGAACGCGAAAAGAATCTATATACATTGTATAAGATAGATTTGAGATTTTTTTGAACACCCCTAATATATAAGATAGATTTGAGATTTTTTTTTAAAAAAAAAAACAAAATTAGTTATATATATATACACATATATATTTCTTTTTACAACTATCTTGGTGAATGAATTATTTGTTTTTTTTTTTTTTTTTTTTAAAATCCGTTTAAACAAGGATAGTTGTAAAAATAAAAAAATAAAAACAAAAATAAACATATATATATAGGGGCTAAAAAAAAAAAAGAGAGAGAGAGAGGAAAGAATTCGTTCACTCAAGGATAATTGTAAGAAGAAATATATAATCGATTTCAGAATCCATCTTCTACGTGGATTCTTTTCTCATTTTTTTCACCTTTCTTTTTATTCTTTTTCAGGATTTTTTTCTAGCTCTTTTTTTTTTGCTTCCTTTTATTTCTATATTTTTTTCAAAATCCATCCATCTCTTATAAATGGATTATATTGTCTATATATATATATTTTTTAACCATTTTCAGTATCCATTCACATAACACTAGTTATTACATATATATATATATATATATATATATATATACACGCGCGCACACACACACATTTTTATATGGATAGATTAAAAGGAGAGAGAAGAAGAAATGTTAGATAATTTAAAATGGTATATTTGTCTAAAAAAGTAATGTTTGTAGAATCCCATTGAATAAAAACTTAAGTAATTAATGCATTTAAAACTAATCAATTCTAAAGCGATTAATGCATTTAAAACTAACCAATTCTAAAGCGACTGTAAAATAACAGTCGCTTGCACGACTGCAATTAACATTTCTCTATTAAATATCATTGACTGATGTCTTTTTCCAACTAATCCTTCTAGATCTCTAGTCAATCAGTTGACTCAAATAATTAAGACGAGATCCTTAAAGCGACTTACAATGATCTTTTAACGGTTATAAGTATTAGTACTAAAAATTTAAGTATTTAGTTGTTCTCCAACTTCAAGCATGTATATACGCGCATATTATACTATAAATTTTCATTGACACATATTCAAGGCCGGATCCAATATTTCTGAACGGGGTGCATTAACTTTGGATTGGGCTAACTTTGGGGTAGCTACCATTACTATTTTTTTTTTGATGGGCTTCAGCCCACCTTCGCCCACCCCTGAATCCGCTTTTGCACATACCCTCTAATTTATTTATTTATTTTTTATTTTTATTCTAAATACCCCTTCCAACCTAAGTCACAAAAAGAGGAAACGAGAGTAAGAGCGAATTCGAGAGTAGGAGCGTGAAAACGGCATAATTAATTCATAAATAATGAGAATTTGAGCCAAAGCGCACACGAAACGTGAGAACGGGGGCATGTTCGGAGCCTAAAAACGACATTCGTTGAGAAATATTGAGAAATATACGGTAAATTACCTTAATCTCCCCTTAAGTTTGTAAAATATTATGGTCAATCTTTCCAAAAGTTTCATTGACTTAACTATGACCAACCCTCAAAACAATCATAAATTCTTAATGCCCAAACTACCCTCATTAATAGCACATTTACTAAATTAATCTTATTAATCAAATGAAATCAATATTAGCACTATTAATAATTGGACCAAACTACCCCCACTAACAGCACTTTAAAAAGATAAATTTAATTTACTTATCATTTGATTATATTTATATAATATATTTATAGAATTGTATAAATAAATAAAAAATTAAAGCTAGTTGATCAATATGTAATGTAAAATATAAATATAATTTTTTAAACTTTAGAATTTAGAATTTACAGAATTTCCAGGTTATATATTAAATATATAAACAAAGATTTTTTTTAATAAATTGGGAATTAAATATATGTATCAAATACATATTACATATCATATATAATATATATATATGTGTGTGTGTGTTGTATACAATCAAAGCCACAGCCACTTGCCTTCGCCACAATCTCCACCGTATTGCGGCATCAACCTCCTTTTTAGGGTACATTTGTCATTTAATTTCATGGCTTATATTAGCAAGAAGACTTTACACTCATATATTAAAAATAGGGATATTTTGGTAGTTGTACATCAAAAAATAATATTCTCAAGGTGTGAGAGTTGTGCAAAACTTTAAACAAAAATCTTAGAGGAGGTCACCAAAGGCCTTTGGCCTAATAGTATAACCTTTTTATTTTTTTTTTAAGAAGAGGGGAAAAGTTCAGAGTCTGGAAAGAAAAAGTAAAAAATAAAAAAATAATAATCTCTGCGGAGGTCGGTAATTTACCCATATATAAATAAATAACTTTTTATTGTATTATTATTATTATTTTTAACTGAATAAAAAAATTTTATATTATTTTTATCATGACAAGAAACAACAAATTCAATACTGGTGTTTTTTTTTTTTTTTTTAATAAAAATTGCTTATTTGGAATCGTCATCGTCACTAGTGACTCAGTTTCTCTCTCTTTTCTCTGCTCAAGGTAGAACAGGTACACTTCTCACTCTTATCTTTGCTCGATTAGGATGTCTCTCCCTCTCCCCTTCTACGTCAAAGTACATTGAATATATATGTATTATATAGATATAGACTGTATATATAAGAATGTGCATGTGTATATATGTGATTATGTTAATAAATATAAAACAAAATATTTTGTTCTTTAAGACCCCTTCAATTAGGCTTTGAAGTTCTTTAAATCAGAAAATATGGAGCGTGTTTCATGTTTCTATCTAATGATCTTGTAATTTGAACAGGAAAAGGGAGAATCATAGAAAGCGGCATGGACACACACATACAGTTGTATGGAACGTGATACATGTTTCTATCTAATGATCTTGTAATTTGAACAAGAAAAGGGAGAATCATAGAAAGCGGCATGGACACACACATACTGTTGTATGGAACGTGTTTCATGTTAACCTAGACAGTTATTTTCTGGGGAAAATTGGATTCCGGCACACTCTTTCCACACACCTCTCTCACACGCACTGGTGTTTGTCACCCATCCTCTCGTTTTCGATTCTTGGGTTTAGTATATTTGGAATATTCAAGGCTTTCAAGTTCCAAGAGCATTGATGAGAATTTTTTTTCTGGAAAAAAAAAGGTTAAATAAAATCTTTGGGCCAAATATGTTAAGATAATTCAATTGGTGTAAATGTTATCTTTGACTAAACTTTTTATTGTTCTTGTCATACTATAGTGCTCTCATCCTGTTCATGAAAATTAGACAATAGCTAGCAGATGGTATAGAATGTGGACATTAAAACCACTCATTGACTTCATATATGGCTTTGAAATGACCTGGGTGTGAGTGGAGTTGGGAGTTTGAGAGGTGGTGGGAGTGCGGTAAGATTTGTGGGTAAGGTTTCAAATTAGTCTAGCCGAGCTTGAATTTGTTTGAATTCGGTGAATTCATTTGTGGACTCGGCTCAGACTCGTAACAAGTCCTTCATTTGCAGCCCGCTTATATATATAATTTATCCCAGTAGCACATGCATCACTAAATTATTGTAGAATGATAGACATCATAATTGACCATTCATTACCGAAAGTGTATTACCTATGAGGACGCTGGATCCATTCCCTCCGTTTATGCCCTTCTCCTTAACCTTCTCTTATCTATTACTCCCACCATCCCAAAAAGAGTTTGGGACGGAAGGAGTACTGCGGATGTCTTTTTTGATAATCCATTACATTGTTGAATAGCTTAACTAGAACTCGAAGAGCATTGGCAAATGATGAATTGGTTTGGTTATGCAATGGTAACCATGCTGATGACCAACTATTTTCCTGCTCTTTCCAAGGAATAGTTTGAACTCTTGGCAATGAGGTCCATTTTGAGTCAAACGGCCTTAAGTAGTTTTGCCTGGTCTATCCCGTAAAGGATGGGAAAAAAAGGAAATTAACATAAAGCTCGATATGCGCAATTTAACATATCTTATTAAGTATATGCATGGTTGAAGTATAAGAACTTGCCCTTTCACATTCCAGGCACACTTCATTCTATTTAATAAAAGTCGTATATCAAACCATCACAAGTTATATGAGGAGGTTGGATCTATTTGGTAATTCATGACATTGCTGCATAGCTTACCTGGAACTAGAAGAAATGATGAACTGGTTTGGGTATGCAATGCTCACTGTGCTAATGGCCGGCTAAGTATTTTCCCGCTTTTTCCTAGCAATAGTTAGAACTCTTGGTGATCAAATCCATTTTTAGCCTAAT